TAAAAGTTAGGAGCACAATTTACAGATCACAGTGTTTTTTATGAAAGGTTTGAGGCAATAAATCTTCGTTAAAGACCTACAAAGTCAAAAATTGTCAAAATTCCAGCATTCAATATCATCTACATGGGCTTTGCAACACCATTACAATTCAGTTTCAGTTCAGTTTTATCTATATGGCACCAAACAACAGTTAGGTAAGGTGAAGACTGTACATAACACAAAGAAAAGACTGAAACTCCAACAATCAGATCACCTGCCTATGGGAAAGTGCTTTGGCGACAGTGGGAAGGAAAAACTCCCTTTTAACAGATATAAACCTGCAGCAGAACCACACAAAGCAAGGGGCAGCACCTATATTGGTGCACATTAAGTTGCTGCAGCAATCTTAAAAAAAAAACTGGACATATTTAAATACAGTGTGGTGAAATATTACAAATTTGCAGCGTTACATGAGCATTGTATTTGGATCATAAATGTATATAAAAAATCCTTACAATTTTCTGAGATACTGCATTGTGGTGACAGCTAGACAAGATCTACCTGATAAGATAGATCATCAGAAGCTAGAGAATAATAACAACTGTGTAGTGAATTTCTGTGTTCAGAGTAGAAACATTTTAAAGACAGAGGAATTTTTGGGATTACATGTGGGAAACCTTACAAAACTCCAGCTAACAGTTTCGTAATGCTGGGACTGGTTTGGAGTTCTTCAGAAGCCAGTCTGAATGTTACCATAGCTCGGAAAGCCACATGAAGGCACGGAGAGGAACATGAAGCGTCACATGTGTGATTGCCTCGTCATTGAGTTTTCATGGTGTGGATTCAAGAGAAAGCCAAATACAGATGAACTCTTAACAGCTTCATCATGTTCAAGCAAGTCGATCCTCTTTAAATGGTGGGAAAGTGTTGGAAAAGCAAGCAACCCTGGCTGATGTGGAAAACTTAAAGAGGCTGCAAGTCCTGTTGATTCAGCCATTTTAGGTTTAGGACTTTCCAGGTCAAAGTTTGAGTTCTTCTGGTGTATTCACATGAAGTAACCTTGATTTGGGTACAGTTGGACATTTTCAGCCTGTATCTCTTCACGGGTAGTTGAAGTGTCTGCTGAACTCTCAGTTTACAGTGTTTCATTGATGTACTGTTACTGTGACGCTAAAGGAAAACTGAAAACAGACTGATTCCCAGGCAGCTTCTGAACGTCTTTTCTCCAGTTTCTGAGTGGATTATCAGAGATAATGATGCACAGGAAATGGAAGTCAAATCTGTTTCATGTCTGCGAGTTCTGACTCTGAGGAGGCTAAGTTTGATGCTGGCTTGGTTTAAAGCAGCTTATTCATAGAGTAATTTGGACCTCCTTGTGCTTTCCTGTATTTGTACACTGTCAGAGCTCTGGGGCCTGGAAAATAAAAAGTTTATAGAGAAAACCCTGCAGGACTGAAACATTTTGTCCTTGTTAAAATTTTAAATGTGGACCATGATGATGCACTTGAACCCTGCAGACAGAGGTCAGGAGGATCTGCCACTGGACACCAAACATGCTCATTAACTGCTTGAGCAGAGGCTCTGAGGGAAATCGTAAAAGCCCATGAAAAACAGAGATATACAGAATGTGGATTCTAGATGAGATATCCATCTCAGCGTGAAATGTAATCAAAGCATGACTTCCCCTACAGAACAGACTGTACCTTCAGACTGGAATGTTCAGTCCAGTCAGAAACTTCCATGTTACTGGGCTATAAACTGGACAGAGCTTAGAATAGAGCCAGTATTCATCCAGTTGAGGTGGTTCGGCCATCTAATCCAAATGCCTTCTGGACACCAGCCCAGGTTTTCTGGGCATGGAATGCCAAGCTCTGAGGAGACCATAACGTACACCAATATCATGAAATCAGTTGTATATCCCATGGATCTCTCTCAGGATCCCACAGGAGGAATTGGAAAACCTGAGGAAAGGATTGTCTTGAACATAACTTTGGGTAAGAAGAAGAAAATTGACAGACATAATTATTGTCTCTTTGAAATAAATTCATTTTGTAATAAAAGTGTTGGAAAACTCTAAAAACTCTTTCCATCATCAGGAATTTAATATAGCATTTATTCCAAAAATGACGTCCCCAAACATATAAAACAGAATCTCAATAACCTGTCAAGGGAAATGTGATTTCTCTCCAACAAACAACAAACAAAGCAAACAAAAACAAGAAACATTTTAAAATTGATGAACAAACATTGTCTCGTTTGAAGACATCGTGCAACACTGGCCGTTTGTGTTGCAGGAATCTATATAGGATCTCCTTTGTCATTGGTCCTCCAAGAGAAAATAGCATTATTTTAGAGACCTAAAAAATCCACACTGTGCTGATTGATTATTGTGCTGTTCATGTAATTGACATGTTTGTGTCTGGTTTGTGTCCTTTATGGACGTTTTATGAACTTGGTCTAGATTCTTGCTTAGGTCCAGGCACTAACAACTGCGTGGTTTGGGTTTTTGTTTGATGGAGCTATATATCAATAAAATTTTCACCATGGTTTGTTTTTACTGCCTTTGATTTCTAAAAACATAACCTTTACTCCTTTTTTTCCAGTTGCAGTGAGATTATCTTGGTTTGTTTTAGGAAAAGGTCCTGTTTTATGTTAAAATAAGTCCCTTGAGAATGTAAAACCACATGTTAGGAAAAAAAACTTTTGTCATCTGCAACAACTTTCTCCTTTGTTTTCATCCTGTGACAGTGGCTACACCAGCAAAGAACATGTGGCCACAGTCTCATGGTTTCTATTTCAGACACCATGGAAAAAGACACTAAAGGGGTACCCGCTGGATCACAGTGTGACACTGAGTGGGCTAGACTAAGCTTCAGTGATTAGCTTCGAGTGCAAATACCCTCTTTAATCATGTTACAATAACTTTAAATAACTCCTGCAGTAAGTAGGCCACACTTTTGACTCTTTTGATTTTTTCCCCATTTCTTTCTAAGCCAATTTCTATAAAAGTAAAGTCTTATAGGCCCGTGTAGAAACGTTTTCTCCAGACCAGTTTTAGAGTTTTGGGCATCTTATTAGAAAATCCTTATTTGACTGACTTGAAGATTCGATAACATGCCATGTTTCAATCACTTTTTGAATTAAAAATTTGAATTAGTAAGTATCTTGTCTTTGTGTTCATAAAGACTATTTAATTAATTTGTACTTACAGTGAAATGTGGTTGAACTCTGAATTCTTACTTGATATCCAAGATGATTGACTGTAAAAGCTCAGAGCGA